GGGCTGAGGGCTGGGGGTGGTCTTGGGGGGGTTCTCTTGGGGGATGTAGTGTTTTTAGGGGCTGGAGTGAGCCCGTAGGACCCTCTTAAGGGGCTCTTGGAGGGCAGTAGAGGCTGGAAGTGGGCTTGGAGGACTACTTACGGGGCCATTGTGGGACTGAGGCTTCTCTGGGGGCTGACAATGCACCATGGGGCTACTTAGGGGGCTGTTGGGGGCTGGAAGTGGGCTTGGAGAGTCACTCATGGGGCCACTGAGGGGCTGAGAGTGGCTTGGGGGGCTGGGGGGGGAGCCCATGGTGTCACTTAGGGGGCTGTTGTGAAGTTGAGGGGACTGAGAGTGCACCTGGGGGTCGCTTATAGGACCATGGAGGGGCTGGGAGCTGTTCTGGGGAGGAGCTGCCGCCTCCTTCAGCCCAGCCCCTCTTCTCCCAGGTGCCAGTGAGCTTTGAGGACATCGCGGTGCGCTTCAGCCGGGAGGAGTGGGAGATCCTGGACGAGGAGCAGAAGGAGCTCTACAGGACCGTGATGGAGGACAACTACGAGACGCTGGTGTCCCTGTGTAGGCTCCGTTTGCGCTGGTTTGGCAGCTGCCGGCGCTGCCCGGGGAGCTCTCTGGGGGTGGCTTTTCTGCCTCTTTGGTGTTTCGCTGGGGTCTCCAGCCCTCAAACTGCCCCTCAAAGCGTCCGCTGGACTCCCTGCTGTCCTCTCTGGCAGCGGTCAGAGGTTGGTGGGTGGACACAGGATGTGGTGGTGAGAGCTCGGTGTCTTCTTCTCGTGGGGAACAGGGACATTGAACTCCCTGTGTTGTCATCGCAGACGTTCCTTCTGTCCTTTCCTTCCACTGTGGACATTCCCTAATCCTTCCTTTCCACTGCCGATGTTCCCTCTTTCCTCTGCCTTCCCATCCATCATGGGCATTCCCTCTTCCTTCCCGTCCATCGTGGACGTTTTCCCTCTTCCTTCCCGCCCATTGCCCACTTTCCCTCTTCTTTCCTTCCACCACAGACGTTCCCTTTTCCTTCCCACCCACCATGGACTTTCCATCTTCAATTATTCTCTCACCCAGTGAGTTCTTCCCACCCGGAAAGGGAAATCAGGGAAAACCAAGGAAACCCAAGGGTTGAAATATAAATGGATTCAACAGAATAAGACTAAATAATTAACATGAATAACACTAAGGAACCAGTATTGATCCCGATACCACTATAAATAGACAAGACAACCATTGTAAATATCCTCAGCCTGTTCCATCAGCAGGGACAGCCCATGGGGACCGTGCGAGCGCTGCAGCTTCAGGAGGAAGGGAGGGCTCAGGGCTCTGGCACGGGGGCAAGGAGTTCTCAGGGTGGCAGCCATCGGGAGAGAGAGAACTCAGCAAACTTCCTAATTTCTATGGAATCTGATGTTTGTGGTATGAAATAACCCCGTTGGCAGCCTGGGGCAAGTGCCTGGCTCTCGCTCCTCCTTGTCCCCGCACCTGGGGAGCTGGAAAACACTGAGACCTGGAAACCCCCACAGCAGAGCTGGCTGTAAAGTAAATATTGTCACCACTTCAGACACCGGAGTTTCCTAAAATTGCGCTTTTCCCAAGCATTAGGAGAGATTTTGCTGAAAAGTAAAATTACTGAAAGAGGGATTAATCCTGTGTGGTTCAGACCAGGAAGAAGGTGAATTTCTGGGGGGGTTTCTGTTGCAGGGATGGATTTTCTTGCAGTTGTCGCCGGGATGGGGGGTTGGTCAGACATGGGGACTGTGTTTCCAGGCTGTGGGTGCAGCTGCAAAAGTGCTGTTGTGTCTTTCCTCTGACATCTGTCTTGCTCCGTAACAGACTGTGACCTCTCCAAGCCTGGGCTCTTATCTCGGATAGGAGGAGGAGAAGAGCTGTGCCCACCAGCAGAGTCCCACCTGAAAGGAGCAGATCTATCTCCAGAACCCACCAAAGGTGTGTGACGCTGAGTTTTTTCCCTGCTGGAATCCTGGCTCCTGGTTGTTTACTGGGATGATCGTAGTCCCTGCCCTCAGCCGCAGGGACCACGGTGTCTCCCAGGATGGCTGTGGACGGTCTGTGCTGGGAGAAGTCGTGGAGAACGTGTGGTGGGACACATGGAGAACCTGGAAACCCTCCCCTGACCCAGCAGCTGTGGGGATCCTGATGCCCTGTTGGGCTTGGGGTGGGGGGGACCCCTGTGCTCCCCTTCTCTGAGCTCCCAGCTGGCCGCCAGTAAAGCCCAGTGGTCTTCTCCTCCCCAGAGCCCCTAAGCGGTGATGGTCTGCTGGAGATGAAGGCGAAGGAGTCTCCTGAGGGGAACTGTAGGGACCTGGAGGACAGCAGGAGCCTGGTGGTCACATCAACCTGCAGTGCACGTGAGTCCTGGGTCCTGGGCCCCTGTCTGGTTTTCATCATCGTCAGCAATGTGCTCTGTGGCCAAGAAGGCCAATGGTCTCCTGGGGTGCAAGAAGAAAAGCATGGCCAGCAAGTGGAGGGAGGTCATCCTCCCGCTCTGCTCTGCCCTGGGGAGGCCCCAGCTGGAGCACTGGGACCAGTTCTGGGCCCCCCAGTTCCAGAAGGACAGGGAACTGCTGGAGACAGTCCAGCAGAGGCTGTGAGGATGACGAGGGGCCTGGGGCATCTCTCAAGGCTGAGGGACTTGGGTTTTTTTAGCCTGGAGAAGAGCAGACTGAGAGGGGATCTCATTGATGCTGAGCAATATCTAAGGGTGGGTGTCAGGAGGATGGGGCCAGGCTTTTTCCAGTGGTGCCCAGGGACAGGACAAGAGGAAATGGGCACAAACTTGAACATAGGAAGTTCTATCTAAACATGAGGAGGATCTTCTTTGCTGTGAGGGTGGCAGAGCCCTGAAAGAGGCTGCCCAGAGAGGTGGTGGAGTCTTCTTCTCTGGAGATACTCCAAACCCACCTGGACACGTTCCTGTGGGACCTGCTCTGGGTGGACCTGCTCTGGCAGGGGGTTGGAGGAGATGATCTCCAGAGGGTCCCTTCCAATCCCCACCGTTCTGTGATTCTGTGATCATCGTTGCTCCTCTTGCCTTCACAGATGTCCCTCATGAAGCCACCTCTGTGCCAGCTGATCTCAGCCAGCCCACCCCGGCCCCTTCCTGCCCTCTCTCCGCCGCCTCTCGTGAAGGGGTGAATCTGAACCAGTCTCCATCGCCTCCCCCCGCAGCAGGTACTGGGACAGACCCCTTTGGTCCCTCCTTGGCAGGGGGTGGTGGCCTCCGGGGAGCACCGGCACACTCGGAGAGCGGCCGGAGGTTTGCCCAGGGCTCTGTCTGTACCGGGGGCTTTCAGGACAGGGTTTTACACAAGTCAAATGGGCCAAGAAAAGGTTTTGGCAGTAAATCCTGCTGCCGGCCTCAAAACCATAAAGGATGAGGCCTGGCGTGGCGTCAGCCAGCCCTCCCAGTTGGTTTGCTTTGAAGGATGAGCCCTGGTTTTTCTGTGAGAGTCCCTTCCATCCTGCCCAGGTGACATTTGTCATCTCACAGCGCCCTTGGGGCATCTGTCGGGATGAGCTGTGGCAGTGTGGGTGTGAGAACACCCAGATGGAGGGGAAGTGAGGCTGAGATTGTTCCCGGCTGCTGGCTGGGGACGGGGTGGGAGGGAGGAACACCCCTTTCCCTTCATGCCTTGTCCTCGAATCCAAGTGGGAGAGCGATGTTTGGGTTCTGAAACATTTCCAGCAGATGCCGAGGTGGGGATCCCCACGGAGGTGCTGCAGGAGGAGCCGGCGGTGCCCAAAACACCCTTGAAACGTCTGGAAGAGCAGGACACGGAGGATTCGGGGAACGGTGGGCAGGGTCCGGCGGCAGACGTTCCCAAAAAGCTGGGAAAGGCGGCCGTCCCAGACGCACGTGGAGAGATGGCACAGGCGGATCCCGGTTGCTCCGTCACCGAACCGGAAGAGCCCACCAAGGGCTCCTTCGCCAGCCGGACTGGGGTCTCCCA